GTTGTTCTTTTTATTTTTTGTGCAATACTCATTATAAATATTTGATGCCAAATTTGACTATAACGTATTATGCATAAGTTATAAATCAATGCAAATAGTATTTTATTAATGTGTTAATTCATTAATCTATTCATTTTGCTTCAATGCTATGTCTAATTTTCGATTATGAGAAACATTCTAAGAGACATTTTTTCATAGTTGTTTCGTAGACTTCTACGGTCCTCCGTGTGTTTCATCCATTTTACATCCACCATGGTTATCTGTAATACGTCTGTACTTCAGCCATTGTGGATCATCCATAAATAAGCTACAGTAAAACGTTTAGTAGACGTCGATATTTGATCCGAATTCTGAACACATACCTGATGAAACGTGCTATATGGAAAGCTATATAACATTTATTAAATTTTATAAATTTTTTTTATTTAATTTAACATTTAAATATACATTTATTTTTTCACTAGTCTGGATTTTATATATATATAGTTTATTTTTTCTTATGAAAGATTTTGTATAATATTTCTGTGTTGAATAAGCACTGTTTATTAGTTTTAATAATCGGATTAATTAAGGGATATAAGTGCCATTTGCTCAATATATCCTGCAATGATGTTTTTTTTTAAGCCACATCTGCGCGAAACTTTACGCGGTCACCTATCCATATACTTTCACAAGATATTTAACAGAATTATCGATAAACTTACATTTTTTTTTCCAAACAAGTATTACAGCTCAACATTAAAAACTGTTTGCTTTTTATTTATTTTGTCACGCAATATTTAAATGACTCAAACGGAAGTTTAGGCGTTCAAAGCCGCACCTTCAATATGACGTAAGGGGTTGCTAGTTTTACTTGGCGATTTTAACATAGTTAAAGATCTTAATGACCATATTCTACCCAGGAAAATCTTCCGTAAGAAAAGTATCGTTTCCATGATAAAGATCCTGATTATTTTTTTATTATGTCAATGTTGAGGAGTGTGCTCCCTAGACAGCGATTTTTTTCGCGTTCGAAAATATTGCAGTGAGAACTGCCGTAGACTACTAATTACTATATGCTACTTTTGATTTCAGCTAAGCGCTGTTGGCAACGAGAAGAAATGACTTTTTATTTCCTACTCGTATTTTGATTTTGTTTTGGAAATTTAAGAGGGAATATTTAAGCATCAAAAATATACTTTAGGATCCTTAATTACGTTTGATGTTTTCAAAATATCAGTTAGCTGCAGTAAGATTTAAAGTGTTTTTTTAAATTTATTTTCCTATCTGTTTTTCTCATTATAAATCAATTTTTCAAAAAAAAAAAAAATCTTTATTCTTCCCACTAGTAAACAACTTAATAAATTCAGATTTTCTGCAATTTTGTTTTCATTCTAAAATGTTTACGTACACTTTCTACAAATCTTATTTGAATAAAAAAAGCCTAATTAATCATTGTGGCTTGGAATTTTTTATGTTTCAAGTTAAAAAAAAAATCAAAATAATTTCCATTAACAAAACGAAAAACGTTTGAAAGCGAAATTTCCTTAGGTTGCTTGTATTTTAAATGTAACCAAAGTTTCAAGAATTGAATATCCCTTTCTTAACTAGGGATGTAAAAAAAATAGTAATTTGGCTGAATACCAATATTTTCATTAAAACTTGTACTGGTAAAAACCTTTTGAAAAATGGGAAAAACGTGATAAATACTATTAACCTATTTTTATTTTTTTTTGTTCAGATATAATGGTTGGAATCTTTATTATTTCCATGTCATGGCAAATATTAATAATTATATCTTTATATACATGTATTGTAATGTATACACTACCCTACAATAATAGAAGAAACACTTTCAGTTTTCAACGTCAAAGTCTCTCTTCCATATTTGTACGGTAGTGTATATATATGCATATCAGCAAGTAACAAACCATTGGACAAGTGATATGATGTAAGCTATCACCTAAATTGCAATTGTAAAACTAATTATTCACTTAATCAGGTGAGGCAAAACTTCTCAATATATAAAACTTAAAAAAACTGATATATTTATTAGATTTTCACTATGAGCCAATTTCCATTAATTAAAAATTAAAATCATGTTTGCAAATTACACTATTGTATTATATCATTGTCTATCATAACTTTATTATAGCTGTATTTATATACAGGAAATAACTGTTATATTGAGTATTATAGGAGTCATAATAATGCTCTATAATAGAAGAAAATCAGGACAAAATATTTTTTATTAGAAATAAGAAGAAATTTTCAACCCCATCAAAAAGTTTTAGAACATTAGTTATTAAAATGATAGTATGTTGTTCTGCAATGCTTAGTATGGCACTATTTTAACCGTGTTTGACATTATTTTAAAAAATTCTTATTTTAGTACAGAATTTTTATGGGTTTGTAAAAACCATCGGAAAAACAGGTTTTTCCCAAGATGGTAAATACATGTAAAAACCTCACATGGTAAATACTGTGCCAAGCCTATCTTGTTGTGTGGATTGGATTATATATCAGGGTTCTGTTTAGTAGAAATTTGGGTCCTTTAACGGACCCTTCACAAAATATCTTTTCTTAAAAACGAACCCTTCACAAAATAATTTATCTTTTAATCTGACCCTTCACAAATTTGTTTGTCTTCATTATTGTTTTGTTAATTGAATGAACCCTTTCCAGGAAAGATATGTAAACGAGCTATATTTTGTCTTCAGCAGACGCTTCTTCCTTTATTAGTCCGAAATGAATATTCTGCGTTCAGCAGTATAGGCTAAATACCAAATATTTATATGTTGCATCGCTAATTTAGTAGCTGCAATTTCTGCTTATTTTTTAAAATTTTAATTTTTTTAATTATAATTTTTCTGTGTTGAGAATAACCTTGTTTGTCTTTACATTTAACTCCTTGAAAAAGTTTTTTGCAATAATGGACCCTATTTGCACAAATTCACAAAAGTGGACCCTGGTTGAAAGAATGTGACTTAACGTTTGTTTTATATTCACAAATTACGAGTAATTTTTTCACAATTTTACAGAAACGAACCTTTCACAAAATGTCTGGACAGACCCCTGTGTGTGTGTGTGTATATATATACATATATATATATATATATATATATATATATATACATATACATATACAGTAGAGCGCCGATTATCCGAACTGCTCGGGACCGAACATGGTTCGGATAATTGGAAAGTTGTTTAAAATCTAGTGTAAATGATTATTATTTCTGCACTAACTTTCCTTCGCACCTTTTGTAGGCTTAGGACTGGCAATACTATCTAAAGTAGCTCTGGCGTGTTTAAAAGTTTTTTTTTTTTCAATTTTTAAATATTTTAAATTAATTTTTTTAAAAGTTTTTTTCATTTTGTATTATTTTTATCATACATATTTCAGTTTTTTATAATTTTTTTGTCAATTACTGATTTTACCACATTTTTTATTATTTTCCATTGTGAAAGAAATTCAGCAAAGATTTCGTTTTAAGGAAGATGCGTTTTTTTTCTTTAGCAGTCATATATCCCTTATTCTTTTTAAATAAATCAACTGAACTGGATCAACATAATTTTTGACGTTCTAGCCAATTCATTGCAATATCTAATGAATTGCGTGCAGTTCCGATTTTCATTCAAAATTTCAGCAACAATTTCATCATTTTCATCCGAAAGATCTACTGGTTCAGAAACTTCAGTTTCGTTTGTTTTTCTGTTAAGAATTTTATTACAAGATTTAAGATTCCAAGCACTGTAAACACTAATAATTAACCATGAGTGACAACTACCCATTCCTCAATTATAGAACTTCAGCACTTATCTGTTCATAAACTCCTTCTGCATTCCTACCATTGTAGACTATCAAAATGAAGCTCCCATTCTTGGAAGATAATTTTCAGTTGTAAAGGGTTGTGTAGGTTTAACTGTATCACAATACATGTATGTACGGCTACTACAAGAAAACTGCTAAAAAGGTTGTAAATTAAATATAGTCTTCAGATGTAGGGGATATTACTTATTCTTCTTAATATAGAAAAACTGTCGATAGGTTAAAAAGTATTTTAAACTTTAAAAGAAAAATGAATTCAGACATAGTTCGGATAATAAGGGTTCGGATAATCGGCGCTCTACTGTATATATATATATATAAACTTTTAGTAAAGTAAAGACAATTACAGTCAAAAATCGCAAATTTCGGCATAAAAATATTATGTACTTATAAAGGAAATTATGTAAAATTGTAATTTATCCAATTGGTTATATTTTATAATTGTTGAATTTGGATCATTGATTGCCTTGCTTGCATAATTCAATCATACCTATTAAAATGCTTACATATTAAAAATTTTGTTTTATACATATACCTAAACATAATCTTTTATAAAATTTAATACTTCAGTTTGCACACTAAAATCAACGTCTATTAGGAAATTTATTCTAATAACCTTACTAATTATTGATTAAATACTTAAATGTGTTTATGTTTTGATTTTTTCAAGGGGGGGGTTTCATAATTCATTCACCCATCTTATTAAATAAACTAAACTCAGCAGCACGACAGCCCATAGAGGGCCAAAGCCTACTGTGCCCATCTCATTTTTCTTGACCTTGGGCTCTGGGGTGCAGGAGCAGATGTTCCGGTCAGGTGGTCAGCCGAATGCTGAACCCCCAGTGTTTAGTTCCCAAGCATGCTTGGTACTCATTTATCAACCCACTGAAGGGATGAAAGGCTGAGTCCGCCTTGCCCGGCCAGAGGATCGAACCAAGGACCTGTGGCACGACAACGCGAAGCGCTACCGCTCAGCCACCGGGCATCATCTTATTAAATAGAATTTAAATTTATGCTATTATTGAAGTTTAATTGTAATCATAAACTGTTTTTTAAAAAATTTTTTGACATCTGTTTCCTGAATTGGAAGAAATTTATATCTAGAGGGACATATGACATAAGTTTCTTCCACTGTGAGAAAGAAATCCCCGATTCAAGTTGTCTCATTTTTGTTTTCTTCCTTTTTCAGCGTCAAATTGACAAAGGGAATGATCTGCTGGAAGAAGTGAGTAGTCATGACCTTCCAAAGATCAATGAGGAAAATCCTACCACTGAAGGAGGAGGAGATGTACAAGATTTGGCTCTCTCTCTGAAGCAACACCTTGGTTCATTCTCTGAAAAATTAGAAGGTACAAGGGAAAAGATTGAAGACACTGCCAAATGTTATCAATTAATGGATAAGGTAACATTTTATTTATTTCTCCATATTTTTTTCCAACTCTGCGACCGATTTCTGAGACTGGTGGAAAAGAAACCAAACATTATAAGTTTTAAAAATAATCAAATCAGATTTTTTTTTTATTTAAACATGGTGCATAGCGTTTTTAAAGAGTGCCTTTTTTTTCGTTTTTTAAAAGCCTTTAAAGGTGCTTTTTCCATTGGGTGTTTTTAAAAAACACGTAATTTTCCCTTTTCGAAAATGAGATTTTTTTCTTTGCTGTGTCGATTTTCGTCACGTTTTAAGCAAAAGCCTGCTTTTGACTCCAACATTTTCATAATTCATTCTACAACAATCCATTTCGGCGTACCGTCAGTCAATATCGTATGAAAGCACCCACCATTTCACATGTTTAATGAAATACTTGCGGACTCTGCATGTGCATTTACTGAGCTGGGCTCTGTGAGATTGTTGTACTTTCATGTGCAACTCTGCTGCATTTTGCAAGATACTCTCAGTTTCAAGCTTTATTTCCCACCCTCTGATATCGAACAGTAAAATCTATTTTTCATTTTATAATGGCTAATACAGGGTTATTCATAATTCCCTCCGGGCAGGAACTGGACTATCGCATTGATGTATGCCGTGTGACCAAGGGTTCACACATAGAACACCTGTAATGCATGTAAGTAAAACTTGAATAGTTTCAGAATAATTTCATATGTTTCTTTTTTTCATGTTCGTCTTCTTTTTTTTACTATAACGCTTCGAAACCCCGGAGGGAATTATAAATAACCCTATATAATCAAGAAGAGATTTTTTTGTCAGAAACTAGCCTGACACTTTGAAAATTATTTTGCTTTTTGTTAATAAACATAGTGTTATTTTTGAGTGCTTAAAAATTACTAAAAGGTGCTTTTTTTGTTGTTGAGAGATTTGGCTACGCACCCTGTTAAATTAGAATACTTTTAAATCAGATTTTTTTTTTAATTAATTTTATTTATTTTTACTTATTGAAACTCTATTAAATTGTATTATTACTGCTTTTTATTATGTAAAAACAATATTACTAAAATACTTAATATAATCTCACTGAAATGATAAAAATTGATATGTTGTTACAAACTAATCACTGAATAAATATTTAAAAAAAAGTCATGGTTATTTTTATTCAAATATAACACCTTCTGGAATCTGTAATTAAATTTATAAGTTAGATTTAAAATAAAAAACAATTATTTCTAATTACGGTGCACAGATTAAGTCTATTTTCATTTTTTACCGTAAAAACTACTACAGTTTTAAATATACTTTTATTTAATTTAATAGATGTAAGTATTGAAATTTTTAATTATTTTAAAATTGCTTAAGAGTTCTAATTTTGCTAAATAGTTTGAAGCTGGGAAAGTTTTTCCCCCCCATGATTTTATTTATTCGGTGATTAGTTTATAAGAATTAAAAAATAAATTTTGCAACATTTTAGTTAGAAATGTCAACTATTTTTGCAATATCAATAATACTGATAATACGTTTTATAATGATACTGTTAGTTCATAATCTGCTGTTAATACATTTCATTAGATGATTTGATTAGTCACTATAAAAAATTTGATTATTTTTGTTAAACTCATTGGCGGTTTAGCAAATGGGCAAAATTGGTAAAATGTTACTCCCCAATTCACTATTTCATTATCTAATAACATGGAGTAACCGGTTTTGCTATGAGGTGAAGACTGCAGGCTAAAGTACGACTATTTAGGTGCAGAACCGTCAGTGGGTTGGGGGAAAAAATCATGAGTATAGCCAACCCTGATTGGTAGGGTAGGGTCTTTCAGGCACTTGGGTGTAGAAAGAATTAAATATGAAGCTGAAATCTTTATTTTTTAAAAATAGCAATAATTTTCTTTTAAATTGCTATAAAGAAAGACATTTTCTTAGTGTTCATTTTTCTCTTTATTGTCTAGGATTGTATTGTAACATATTTCAATTTGAAGAAACTTTTAATAGTCACAAATCAGGACAGTATAAGTTAAAATTTTGTTAGTTTCTTCCTTTAAAGTGAAAAGATTTTACTTTAATGGTATCATTATCAAGCTCATTCTTTCTTTCTGATTTCTTTAATATAAAAATTGCTTCTTCTCCTTTTAGGCAATGAAATACATTAAATTTATGTGTATTTGTTATATTCTATAATTGCATATTGTGCCCAGTATATGCTTTATTCAGCCTGATTTACTTTTTGCAATTAAAATCTTTTCCAGACTGCATTGATATAAATTTAATTTTTAAAGATAGTGTAGTGTATCTACTACTACAAATATATAATTCCAATTCACAAGTATATAAAACAAATTAACTCGATTCTGTGGTGGGGTACCTTTGCATAGAAGAAGGTCCGCATTGTCGATAACTACGATCACCTTGTACATGTCCGGAATAACAATAGAATGTTTATCTTCAGAAAATCCATCCGAATACAAAACCTCCAATTTTCTAATTGTTGTCACTCTTGTTGCAATGGCGTCAAAAATGAACGAGCACAATAACACTGTAGTGTATCTACCACTACAAAAAAACGATTCCGGTTTTCTACTATATAAGACATGTTAGAACGATTGTATAGTGGGGTACCTTTTCATAGATGAAGGTTGACATTGTCGATAGCTACCCTCAGCACATGGGTGACCGTCGGACGTGACGTGAACAAGCCTTCCTTGTCAGAAACGCCCACTACGATTTGAACACGTCTACTCTTCGACAGATGGTTCACAGTGAACAGTTGACACGTGTCTGCGACACTATCCACCTCCTCGGGCTGTTGCCACTCGATCTCGATTGCACGCATCGGGTTGCGTGCACTTGACTGCTGACAGCAACATGGGAGCAACGACGACCGTGAATTCAATACGGCTCTCCTGGCTTCTCACAAAGCAGCAATGTATCCACTTGTGGTATCCGCTCATCGAATTCCATCACAGATACAATTCTGGTGGGGGAGTACTGTTGTGTGTCTACTTATACAAAAGTGCAATTCCAATTCACTAGTTTAAAGACATGTTAACTCGATTCTATGTTAGGGTTTCTTTTCGTAGATGAAGGTTGACATTCTCGATAGCTAAGATCCCCACAGATAGTTTGCACATTGAATCTGTAAATTCTGCTTCTGGGATAACTATAATATTCATGAAAAACTATTTATGAACTCAAGTTTTAATATCATTGATATAATTAACTTTCCTGATTTATTTCTGTTTCAGTCCTGTGAATAGGAAGTAGTGAGTTTAATAACACTTAAGATATAAACCCTACATGTGAGTGATACTCATATAAGTTATAAGGTCAGAAAAACAATTCTAGCTGAAACCAAAAATTTAAAAATTTTGAGATATGTGTGTTTGCAAAACAGCACTTCATCCAGGGACACACTGCCCACTAATTTAACGTTTATAATTTTGTGTTCCTGTCTTTTACCTTTTAAATTTTTACTCATTGAATGCTTTTTTTTTCTTCAAGATTTTCAAAAAAGGGATCAGCACTTGATTTATTTCTTAAGTTTTCTTAATGATTTTGCAATTTATCATATTGATGTGGCTATTCTAACTGTAACTTTATCTTTATTTTTCTTATTCTTGGGCATTTCTTTTGTCTTAGTTTGTGTGCTTTTAAGTCATTATTAAGACTTTGTGATTGTTTGTCATTTATTTTTCTTTGCATTTACATTTCAATTTTTCTAATTGCTTTTTCTTATTTGTTTTTTCCGTGATGGGGCCTTAGTGGTACAGTCAGTTTTTGGTTTCACCACTGACAACAGAAAGGCTCCTCAGTGTGTTAGCGGTCATGTCCCCTGATGAAGTGCTGTCCTGCTAATACCACATATCTCAAAATTTTTCTAATTTGTGTTTCCTGCTGAAATTGTTTTTCCGTCCTTATGGATTAAAATAAAACAAATTTGGATTTTTAACTGCTTTAAGCGCTTTTCTATTTTGATTTATTATTTTAAATGTTGCTTACTTATTTTGTCCTTTTCTGAATTAGTTTCATTCTTTGATTTGATACTCATATAATTGATTTGTGTATTTTTCAGTCTTATGAGTGGGCCCTGGAAGCCATGAGATTTGTGTCTCACATGGGTATGACTGAAAGCTGTGAGGGCATAATGAAGCAAATCCAATGCCTTCAGGATTATTCTGAGAACCATTTGAGGGTTCCTGAAGACACTCTCTCTGAAATGTTGGAACTGGCAACAAAATTGGGAAATGAGAAGTTGCTTGAACAGTGCAGGGTAATTCATTTATCTCTTTAACCTTCAAATGCATAGACCTTTGTGTTATATGTATATATACTAGAGGTTATATATAGATATATATAATTTTGTTGAAAATTTCAATTTGTAACTGAAGAATTATTGTGATATATTTGTCCCCTTTTTTATTTGGCTACAGTTAGATCGAATTAATTTATAATATGATATTATTACATGTATGTCCCAAATCTAGTTTTTCAGTTATCACTCTTCAACACACTCAATACCATCAAAAATCCGTGTTTCAATCTTATTATTAAAAAAAAAAATTCTTTCTCTTGAAAAATTTATAGTAGATGTTAAAATTACCAAAAAAATAAATAAATAAAAACCCTACACATTGAAAAGAAATTTGAGATAGTTTCTTTCACCAATCATTTGTCAGAACGTGTGAATCAAAAAAGTGCAAATTTTTCTGTCTCTATCTAAAATTAAAAATAAAAAATTACATTTTCTTTTATTAGAAAAAAATTAGATTAGTTTTTAGATTTTCTTCATATTATTTATAGATTAATTACAGTTATTTTTTTAATTATTACCAATTAAACTGTGAATAAAATTGTTACTTTTCTAGATTAAACTGTAAATAAATTTGTTACTTTTGTAAATAAAATTGTTACTTTTCTAATTCTTACTATATTTTAAGCTTTAAAAATTGAATACATTTTAATAATATTAAGCATTTTAATAATTTAATTTAAGTAATGAGGAAATATTATTTGTTACATGTTTTTATAAATAAAGTATTGTAAAATGTATTTGAAAATTTTCTTTAAATGCTCTGGAAAAATTCTTTAAGTTTGAACAATTTAGTTAAAACTGCCTGTATATTGAGTACATTTAATTGCATCAGAAAAAGTTTTTTAAAAAAAAGTACTTAAAAAAAGTTTCTTTAATAATTGTAGAAAAAAAATGAAGGTTTTTGAGAAATTGTGAAAGCCTGCATGAAGCGTGTAATATCATTGCAGGGCAAATAAAGGTTTCACAAAGAAAACAAATTCTGCAGAAAACCTCTTCAAAATATTATTGTAACATTAGTTGATTATTAAAATAAGAATTAAGTGCCCTAAATTGTTTTCCTTTGAAAGGAACCAGTTTTTTCTTTTTAAATTGTTGAAGAAAAATTGTGTTAAATAAAAGTTTCCAATAAAATTAATGTTACAATGTTACAAACCAGAAAGAAAAAGATTTTTTTTTTCATTGAGTGTAACTGTGTTTCTTTTAAACTGACGTTAAAAGTAGTTGGCAGGAATCACTGCAAACTACTGGTTTTATATATTGCACACTACACTACAACTACGAGAAAAGTAGCAACTACGGTTGTTTCACTACTCTTATTGTGCTTCTCCGAACCACTGCCCCAGAGGTATTGATTTGTTATGAGAATTTGGAGGACTTTGTCAGCCGACAGATTTAATGTGCACCAGTCAGTTAATACACTGTGAGTCTAGCCGGTGGGGATCGAACTCACAACCTCTTGGATATGGGTCCAACATCCTACCAACCAGGCTATCCCTTTTAATATGTATAAAGTTAAAATTAACTTCAAATCCAAACTTTTACCAAAATTATTCTAAGATTTGAGTATTTTTTAATTGCTCTGCGTTCTGACCATTTTATGTGTTGGATACTTCAATCTTTTTTTTTTAAATAATGTATAGTTTGCTGTAAAATATTAGGAGTAAAGAATAAAATAGCAGACCTCATTTAGCAGCATTCAAACAAACATATTTAATTTCATTGCCATCTTATTTGTCTTTCAAATAAATTCCTGTTCGGTTAAAGCTTTTTTATATTATGGCAAGAGGAGATAAACCTTTGCAATGTGAATATTCAATTTTGTTTTCTTCAAAATTTCCCTTTTAAATTAAGTTTAATTAAGGAAGTACCAAACCTTAAAACTTTTCAAGAGTCTTATACAAAATGTATTTTTAGTCATATTACAATATAATTTAAGCTAATAACAAATAGTGGAAGTATTTCTATTGATTTTATGTTTTTAAGATTTGTATGCTTCGTAAGCTATGTGTTAATGCTTTCTTGTTCAGACATTCCACGGATCCTTAATTTATTAAAAATTATTTTAATCCAATTAACAAATCAATGTACAGAAGATTAAAAAAGTAACTTAAAATAATGAGTGGTTCACAAATTAATTTTCCTTTTAATGTTAAATTGAATACAAAACTAGTGACACACTTTAATTCGGGAATTTTAAAACCAAATTCCAATTTTTTAAAAGAATACTAAATCTTCAGATTGGCTGTTAGTAAGAAATTCCAATGGAGATTTTAATTTGCAATGGCATTTTGAAACAACTAACTGAGGACTCCTAAAGCTTGATCTCCAACATTTGGTTAAAAAAAAAAATCAACATTTTTTTTACTTTAATATATTATTTAATATTATGATTCCTTTAAATTAGGGGTGCACACTCTGCGGGTCACATGTGGGTCGCCAAAGGGGTTTTGCTTTAATTTTAATCATTTTTAACCTTATAAACTTTCTTTAAATCAAAGTATTTAACTTGCATTTATTTTAATATCTAGAATATTTATTTTAAACATTTAAAAGTATTTGATTTAATGCTGATAAAAATACTTTATTGCCTAGAACAATGATGTTTATATAACAATTTCTACTTACAATCGCTGTCAATATGTCTGTCTAAATACTTTGGCATGCAGTCCTTCATTTATCAATCTGCTGTACATGTGGCCCTTTACTCAATAAGGTTGTGCACCCCTACTTTAAATGGTAATTGTCATTATAGTTTAACTTATGCTATATCTGAATTTTTGTTGACATGTAAGTTCAGTTTTTTCCCCCAAACTGCTGTCTGATTGTTCTCCTTTTCACAACAGGTAGTTAAACAACGTTGTGAAGAAACAGTAGAATTGATTCAAGCACGCCAAACTACATTGCAGAAAGTAAAGCAGCAAGCAGTGGTCGATAACCTGAGAGGACCCTCCTGGGAGGCAGAAGACGTGAACCAAACTCCTCGGACGATGCGGTCGAATTCTCAGCCGACTAACTCCTGGTTACCTGTCAGAGCCAGCACGCCCTATTCAATAGGTTTCTCGAGTCATCAGAGACGACGATCCACCGGGGGACCCTTGAATTTGTCTGCCGCTACCCATCGCTTAGGCTCATACACGTCTTTTCCCAGTTCTTACTATCCTACTGCAAAAGAATCCTATCAGTTTGATAATTATATTCAAGATAAAGAGACATCTCTTCTGAGTAGGGGAATAATTACTGAAGATTTGACCTCACAAGGACCTGTTGCTACCATTTCTCTTCTGGGAACGCGCATCGGCCAACGAGATAGCCACTGCTCTTCGTCATCGTCCGCCTCTTCTTGTAGTAAAGTATGTTTTGTGATTCCACATATGCCTACAATTTTTCACATTTTTTCCTGACTTTTCAAATTTGTGCCTCTAAGTTGGCATCCGATAAACGTTTAAGGCAGGGTTGCAAAAAACTCACCTACCCAGAAATACCCTGGCGGGTTTTACTGGGTAAAACCAACTCTGAAGAACCTATGTGGGTTTTTCTAAAATTAATTTAATTTATATTAAAGAGCTATTCTTTTGAAATATATATGTAGTCTAGCCTAAAAAATTGAACCTATAGTGAAAAAAGTAACAACAATCTGAAAAGAAAAATTATTTGTAAAATTCATGAAGAAAAATGTGTAGGTTTTGTATAAAAAAACAAAATAATTGGAGTATAAATCATACTACAGTAAAAGTTATTTCATAAGGATTTTGATTTGAAATAAACACAGGCAGAGGAAATACATTATAAATTGATCAGTGTTATAATTTTACTGTACGGCCATTGATTAGTCGTTGCCTTTGACTTGCTTTCCATGCAAAAAAAATCCTAAAATATTTTAAGATTAAAATATAAATAAAATGCAATCCTGTGTTAAAAATACATTTCAAATTTGTGTGAATACATATAACATTTTATATCGTGATGTCAGAAGAAGCTTTTTTAAGACTTTTGCACCAATTTATTTGTACTAATTACCTATACGTTAAGTCAATTCATTAAATTAAACTTAATTATTAACAAGGGTCTGTCCAGGCCAAAATTACTACCGTTTAGTGGTACCTTCACAAATTCAACTTTAGGAAAAACGTAAGTAAAAATTTCTTAAAATTTTATTTTTGCATCCCCCGTAAGAAACAATAAATCCATATTTTTGAGTTGATTTTTTAATATAATTTTTAATTTTTTCACCAATTATGTCTAAATTATCACAAAATAGGTACCTCTCAGAAAACCCTGACAGACCCCTGATTAATATTAAAATAAGCTTTTTTAAAATAAGGTACTTATCCCTGCCCTCTCTTTTGAAAAAAAAATATCCAATAAAACATGAAAAGCCCAATAAAACCCAGAACTTTCATTCTGTAAGCTTCTTTTGGTTAGAAAATGTATATCCTCCCAATATTAATATCTATTTAATAAATTAATTGTTGTGAAAAATGGAAAAAGTTATTTTTTGTTTTAAATAAATTGAAATAATTAAAAGTATTTAATTTTCTGCATATATGATATTAAGTTTATTGAAGAAAAATCCGGGTTTTTCGTATCATCCCTCCTGGAAATTAGAACTTAGTTTTTTTTTTAAATTGGTTACTATAAAAAAGTGCCATGTACTTTATTGGTAGGTAGTTTAATTATAAATCATAGTTCAAAAAATTATTCTAAATATGAATAGAATATAAATCAATATCTTGTTAACAAGTTTTTTCCTATAAAATTTTCAGGATTTTTCTCTTTGTGTCGCAATTACCCCTATAAAACTTGTAATTTGAATGACACTTCTTCTGTAATTGCTTTTGAAATCAATTCCAATGTTGTTTTTTGATTTTAGGAGTCCAGAGAAGAAGAAAGTCCGAACAATGTAATAAAGAGTGGTAGTAAAAAATTGAATCGTCGCTGGCAGATGCGAGATGAGGCTTTGGAAAAAGCAAAAGCTGAAGTGAGAGAGCAAACTGCCTTATTGCGAATAGAAAAGCTTAAGAAGAAAGGAAATATGTAAGTTTTTGTATTAATAGGAAATGCTTACAGATGTTTTTTTTTATGCAGTAAAACCTTGTTTCAAAAATATTTTTTGGACCAAATTAATATATTCAGGGGTCTGTTTAGAAGAAATTTGGGTCCGTTAACGGACCCTTCACAAAATATCTTTTCATAAAAACGGACCCTTCACAAAATATTTTAACTTAAAAACGGACCCTTCACTAAATGATTTTTCTTTTAATCGGACCCTTCACAAATTTGTTTATCTTCATTATTATTTTGTTAAT